TGCCTAACGCCAGAGACCGTCGAGACCCGTAGAAGTAGAACAGTAGAATTACAATTCCGTTGTATCTACCACACTCCGTCCCCCTCTTCCACTTGGCCTTGGTATCATGGAGACCGGAGGCGAGAGAGGGCGCAGGTGGCTGACATATCCGGAGATGCCCCTAAGTCCTTACCGGGCTCGCACCCCAGGCTAACTAAAGTGTTACTTAGGTCAAATTTAGAAGGATCCCGTTTTCCTAGTTTTCTACTGAGTGACTCTCGGTCGTTGCTGAGGTGTCCAAGAACTCGGAGTCGTATAACGATGTAATGAGCTCCGTCCCATCTCTCCCTCTTTCTCGGCAACACGGGGATTGACAGCGTGCTGCTTTAGTCTGTCACATATATATTTAAGCGATGTTTCCACGGCAATCGGTCTCCTGCTTTATTCCGGCACTGTTAATGTACCCAAAGAGCTTCCCCGATACCATTTCCTATGGGTGGGCCGACCTTACAATCAGTGAGCTCGTCCTGGCTTAGTCCGTTCAAGTGTGACCACGAAGATGTCAATTTCATGGTGTACGGTTCCGCGCACAGTGTCGAGCCTTCAACTGGTAAAGCCTTTTTTCAATTTCAACTGACTCAGGCTCAGCCAATACAACTGTGGAAAAAGAGGATGAAAGTTGAGAAAACTTAACAGTCGGTGGACGTAAGCCGGCATGAAGGGCAGAATCAGAACCGTGATAGATGTCTTTCCAACCGGCAGTGTTAGCATAATCCAAGCCGAAGGTAAAGAAATACTAGGTAGATCAATAAAAGCAGATGCAGGGTAGGCCGAAGAAAACACATGAGCATGAACAATAACCTCGGGAACATCGCCAACAAACTCCAGTGACCCTGATTTGCCTATTCTCTCATGATAATGCGGGCCATTTTCCTTGAATCCACCCACTTCGCCAATGCCGCCAATCTTGGAACCGGCATCTTCCTCCAACTCCGGGTCTGCTTTCACGTCAATATCCGCAGACGAAAGGTCCCCGTCAACTGACCCATCTATCCGATGCATCTGCACATGCACATTCGGGCCCATAATTCCGGCTCTAGCGAGTTCTATTTTACCCTCGGTGTCGAGGATTAAAAGTTCTAGCTCCGTTTCTTGTTTATATAAATCTATCGCAGGAGGTTAAGTAAGTTAAACCCTAGCAACTGCAATCTTCAGACCATGATTACTTACTCGACGAGAAGTCAGTAGAAGCCAGAATAGTAGGAATATTTTATTGTGTGCACAAGGGAACGATGAATAGATGGATAGAGTTTTGACATCGGAGCACACGTCATTCCGCTGGAGCGCCGTGGTCCTAAGT